TGTCGCACAATGATTACGCTACGAGGTTTGTGCCACATATTGAGAGAAAGAGAGATATGCCTACTAATAGACCTACGGTAAAAATCAATGAAATCAATCAATAACGGTGGGAAAATAATTTAAAAACAAAATATCTTATAGAAAACTGAGAACAAAACGAGAAAAAACAATGAATTTTAACAAAATAAGTCACTTCAAAAGTTTTGTAAACATATATCATTTCAATAGTTTGTAATTTATTAAACTACGATTGATGATATATAAAACTACATAAGATTTAAGTTAGAAATTTTGAAATAACAATTTATAGCAATTTCGAAATAACTGTTAAAATTTAATTGCTTTCCTTTTCGTCTTTAAAATAAATATAAGATAAAATTATAAGAAGCGGGGAGGAAATTTTTAATTATAATACCAATAGATAGATCGCAAATAATTTTTACACCAATTCGGAATTTGATCTCCTCGGCGTGGAACAAACTTTTCCTCTTCATTCTGCTATTCAAAAAGATCAGAGTGAATGATATAAGAAGTAATTTGTCGTCATAAATTGTCACCAATGTTATGTTTGCTTACTTATTTCTAAATTAATTGACCTTTCTTTATACTAATTGACCTTTCTTCACCTTATCAAATGTTGAATTAATTACAAATGATCTTCATCATATAGCTGCTTAGTCTTTCAACAATATACAGAGCACCCTGAATTATTTATAGAAATCATTCCTACATCTATCCATTTTCTAAATCATTTCTTTGTTTATGAATTTGTTATTTCCTCAGTAGAGCTTATTAATTTGTTGGAACTAAAACATAAAGGAATCATATAGTTCATTTTCAGTTTTCCTGAAAACGATGTGTTTTTTGTTCAATTTTTGAACATTTTAGAGAAATACGAAGTAACATCTCCCAGTAAGTTTATAAAATTAAAATTTTTTCCCCACTTCAGGCATTTGAATCAAATACTTAACCAACATACAAATCCTTATATATTAAAATTTCTAGGATGAAAATTTTGTTAGACTTAATTTCATTGCATCCTGCCTTAAAAGTTTGCTCAGACAATGAAATTCAAAATATCGATCCTTTTTGTAGGAAAGAGTTAAACCTCAGCAAGAAATTGCAAATGATTCACCAATCGAAGGAGGATCTCGATTTGATAATACGGCTCAAATCGGAACGGATTTGCCGTGAGGAAGAAAAATGGCAGCATGAAATGGAATAATCAACATTGACTGCTGTCATTTTCAGATGAATGAAACTTCTAGTCATATTTCATCTATTTTTGAGTGCTCTAAACGAGCGCTTTAGCAAATTTCAGTCATTTGAAAAAATTTGTTAAAACTTTCGACCATTTTCAGGATCATTCAGGATTTTCGCCACGTCCATTTCAAAGTTTCACTTTTACAATCGATGGATATGATGGATTGTTGAGAAAATAATTGACGACAATTGCTGCAAATCGCATTCGTCAATCTTGCACAATTCTAATAATAGCTTTAAAAGCTATTTTCTGTAATCAATATTTACTTTCTCTTAAATTCACAACATTTATCTATGTATGTATACATAGCACCAAATTGTCAATCTTGAAATTTTTTCTGAAAAAAAAAAGAACTTATTTTCAAGTATTATAAGATAGTTTCAAGTATAAGTTGATCTACGAAAAGAACAATATTTAAAGTTTATTCTCTTTTTACTGCGTGCATAAATCGTTTATGCACGCAGTAAACAATGCACGCAGCAAACAAAAGAAGAAAAAATTACTGTTGTAAATTTTATAATGGAACAATGACTACGATTTTGTCCTCTGCAATGGAGAAGTAAGTTATCGGTTTCGAAAAAACGCGCATATCAAGAAGGTTAAGGGGTCAACTGATTAGTGCATGTTTAATATTTTGTGTTTGTTTTATTGTTGCATAGATAGATAGTTGTAAAATTATTTTTCAAAATGTATTACTAATTTCATTTTATTATTTGATGTTTTGTGCAATATGTGAAATCGTTTTTTTTTTTTTTTGATTTTCAAATAAACAATATGATTTAAAATGCTATTTCTCAGAGATATTATATTTTAATAAATTTAATCGTAATTTTCATAATTTGCACTTTTGCAATATCACTGCGATTGAACTATGGTCGCTACATAAATAATAATCATCTAAAATTGATAAAGCTTACCTCAGGAACACAATTTGATACTGAAGTGCAACAGATTCAGAAAATGTATACACAGCACCGAACTGTCAATCTTGAAATTTTTTCTGAAAAAAAAAGAACTTATTTTCAAGTATTATAAGGTGGTTTCAAGTATAAGTTGATCTACGAAAAAAACAATATTTAAAGTTTATTCTCTTTTTACTGCGTGCATAAATCGTTTATGCACGCAGTAAAAATCGTTTATTCGGTGCTTTACAATGAGACAAAGATTAAGTAAATTGAATTGCAAACAAAAGAAGAAAAAATTACTGTGGTAATGGGAAAATCCGATAATGATACTTAATTGAAAAAAACTTCACCTGGGTTTTTGAGAAATTAAGTTTTCAAATTTTTGCCGAAATCAATATAGTAAGTATTTTACAACACGCAATTATATTTTCATAATGTGCCTTGTTTTTTATTTATCTATTATTATTCATTTTTTTTGTGCTCCTGCAGTATTAAATTTTATTCCTTTTTAAATTTTTTTTTTACTAAATTTTTTTAAAAATATTATTAAATTTTATAAACACATCAAATAAATTGTATTTAGAAATATTTGAAAAGCATATTAAGATTTATGTCAAAATTAAATTAAATTATCACTCATTTATGCTGTTGTAAATGAATGAAACTTTTTAATAAATTTAATGAAAAAAATTTTTAAAAGGAATAAAAAGTAAAATTGCAGAAGCATAAAAGAAAAAATAAATAAATGAAAAACAGGGTACATTATGAAAATACAATTCCATATTGTAATTTTGAGACACCATGCTATAGAGGGGAAGCAGTGAAAATTAAACATTGAAAGTTGAAAATTAACAAACCTTTGAAATGGTCGATACAACCGAGCGTGAGAAGAATTCTGTTTGCTGAATCTAAGATCAGTGACGTCATAAAGTTCATAATTATTCACCGAGATTACAGTTCATAATTCTTCATCGAGAAACAATCTTAAATTTAGAGATTTTTTAAAAAAAAAAGAATTCATAACATGAATAAAGTTACAAAAAGCATGCAGTTAATAAAATTAACCAAAAAATGCATGCAAAACAATGTTAATAAAAAACGAGTGAAAAATAAAAGCATGCAATAAATACAGAAGAAAAATGTGTATGCCTTAATATTAAATGGTGTAAGTAAGTTCACAAGACACATGCATGTTAGTAAAACTAACCAAGAAACGCATGCAAAAACAATGTTAATAAAAAAACAGCAAATAATATAAAGTTACAAAAAGTTAATAGAATTAACCAAAAAATTCATGAGAAAAAGTTACAAAAGGCATGCAATTAGTAGAATACAAAAATTGTAGGTGTTAATAGCAAAAATAAAAAAAATAAAAAACACGCAATCAATAGAAATAACCGAAAACACATGCAAAACCAATATAAACAAAAAAAAGATAGAAGTGAAAAATTTTTGAAACAAAAGAAAAAGTGATACAAATTAGTGGTAATATAACAAAAATAAATTAGTGTTAGTGGAATGAACAAAAGTTAGCAAGAAGTAAAATGCTAAAGGCATAAAAAAAATGAAAATAGCAACAAATGAAATGAATAAAAAAAGGCATGCAATTAATAAAATCCAAAAAAAATTACCAAAAAAAAAAAAAATCCAAAAAAAGATTCTAAAAAATAATCCGAATAAAACAGAATTAATTTCAAAAAAGATTTTAACTGAATTCAAAAAAACTGAAAACGATTTTAACTTTTTTTTTTTGATTTTAACTCAGTTTAGAAAAAAAAAATTGAAAATGCAAAAATTAAAAAAAAACAAAAATTAAATATTTTTGAAATCTTTTTAAAGTCTAAAGCTCTACCAATTCAAAAAATATACTTAAAAATGAATAGTGATTAAGAATTTTGAAATTTATTCCAGATTTCAGAAGGTCCTTCATCTGAATTTTAAAACCCAAACATTTTTTCTATATGCTTGGTTAATGTTATACTGACGAAGGAAGGTATAATTCTATACCTCCCTTCGACCATCCCTATCCTCCCTCTCACAACATACACACAAAGATAATTACAAATTAATATCAACTTATGATTTAGCTCAAAATAAAATTCAAAATTAGACCTTATTAAATAAAAAATTTAATACCGCTAGTAACACTAAAATAACAATGAAAATTTTCATTAAACAAAAATAATAGTTAAAGTAACATAAACAATAAAAAAAATGAATAATTGTGATAAGTTTAGAAAATCAAAAAAACATTTATAAGTAGTCAAAAGAAAAAAACAGTTTTAGAAAATCAAAAAAAAAAAAACAGTTATTAAACAGTTACAAGTAATATCAAAAAAAATAAAAACATTAAATTACATTATTTAAATGAAAATAAATAAAATACACAATTTTTAATAAAAATTAGCAGCCCAAAAGGCTAAAAAAAAAAAAAAGCAAGAAAAAACAACTGATTTCAAAGTAATCTGATTTATCATTTGTGTTGGCAAAAAAATGCCTCTTACAAGCTTTTTATTACTCTATCACTAGGACGGTAAATGACATACAGAAACATAAAGCAATTACAAACTCCTCAGCCTTTTCCATATTTTGAAATCAGTTGTTCTTATGTTGAATCAAAGAACAAAATTTTTTTTTTCATTTTTTCTATTTTTAATTTTTTTGAATTTTTTTTTAAGGTTTTTTTGATTTTTTTGTTTTTTAGTTTTTTTTTTTTATTTTTTAGTTTTTTTTATTTTTCAGTTTTTTTTTATTTTTTAGTTTTTTTTTTTTTTTTTTTTTTTTTTTTTTTATTTTTTAGTTTTTCATCTTTTTTTTATTTTTGGATGTTACTAACCAGCTTGGACGTCTTTCATTGGAAGAGAATGGAGATTCACAGCAGGCAGCGACAGATGGCCGCATGAGGAAGACCAGGCAATAATATTAGCCTGAAAAAAAACCACTGATTAGAAAAATTACGAGACCCACTTTACGAATATTTTGTTTTCTATGGTCATTCAATTTTTTTTTTAACTTTTAAATTTCACTTCTTCAATGCTAATTAATTTCTTACCTGGGATGAAGAGGTGATGCGCATCCTCTTCTCTTCCTACCAGGTCAAGTCTGCGCCGCTTCACCTGTCGTTCGCTTATTACGGCCGCGCATGCCCTCGGGCACCAATCGAGGGCATGAAGCTCCATTGCTGCCGTTCTCTGGGCGGCCGTAAATTCAGGTGGCAGCAAGAGGTAATGCCCACAACGGGCACAAAAACCTGGAATATGTATAATTAATCAGTCTACTGGCTTTTAAATGAATCAAATGTAGCGATATCTTTAAAAACTAATTGGAAATTCATTTCGCAATACTTACCCATCTTGCTTGTGTGTTCTCGACGCGTGAATGCGCCACCCTTTCAACGTTTCAAACTGCCTGCAGCAGAGGCCACACACTGAAAACAGAAATAGTAAGAAAATATTGTTGCACAAATTGTTCTTCGAGTATCGATATAGAATTTTGTAATCGTTTTGGTGCATTATAAGGGATGAAATTTTCGATGATATCATATGATTTTATCAATACAAAGTCAAAATATGATTGTATTTCTTCTACAAATTGCGGCATATAATCATTTCCTAAGTTATTAAAATTATAACTTACCGATGTTCTTGTTTCCTTCTCCTTGTGCCACCGTGTATGGCTCTGCTTGCGGCACTATCAACTCTCTTCGGAGTTGCTCCGGAAGATCTTTTAAATCAGCTGGTTCGAACTTTTCCGGAGGTGCCGCAGTCATTGCTTCTTGCATGGCAGGAACCGGGATTCTGATCGTCCTCGTTCGCCTGAAACAGTTTTATTTATTGCAAATTATTTGGCAGGTAAGTTAATATCTAGTTAGCAAATTAATACAATTGCTGCTAAAATTTAAACTTACAGGACGAGTTCACGTACTGCCTCCACCGGTTCCTCGATCTCCATTGGTACCCCCGGTACCTCAGGCTCTTCTTCCTCTTCTTCGTCTTCCGGCAGAGGGGTTCACTCTGCTTCTGATGGCCAGTTCTCGGCCTCATCACCATTTTCATTTTCAGGCAGAGGAGCCCACTCTGCCTCTTCTTCGTTAAATTCCGGTTCCTGAGGTACCGGGTCCTCTTCCATTGCTGGCTGGGCACTCTGCCCTACCAGTTCCCCCAACCTCCACCCCGCCTCCGCCATCCTTTCTATGAGCGACTGTTCAAACTGAAAAAGCTATTTTTTAAAGTCACTTTTTAAATTTGAGGCAGTGCAAAGTTCATCAATTCTTTCTTCATACTGTATCAATTTATAAAAAAAAAATAATAATAATATAAAAAATAAAAGCAAAAAAGAGGAAGACAAAGTGAAAATTACCTGAACAGTCCTGCTCACGAACCTTTGCAAAATCCGGTACATCTCCGGCTCCCTTTTAAGGTATTCGAAAAGCACTTCGATTTCTTGATCCTCCATGGGAGCCGCAATTCTATAAAATTAGCAAACTTATCAAATATTCATTAAGCACAAAGACCAGCGACGTAACTATTATTAACTTATGGTAAAAGAACACATGATAAAAAAACACTGATTTACATATTTTAATTTACCTACACATAATTCCACTTATGCTAATCATTAAATATCCCATACTTTCCCTGATATTTTCTTTGAACCATAATTCTGACGCAACAAAAAAACAGGAAAATAGTGACGAAAATGAACATTCATAATAATAGTATTTCTCTGCAATCTTTCGCGCTCATGGAGATTTTTTTTTCATCTAATATATGGAGACTGTTCCATCCTTTTTTTTTCTTCGAATATTCCTTTGGTCTCTACTACATCTCAATCTAACATCTTTGTACTATATGTATTATCGTTCTTCTACATAAACTTTTTTTTTTCTTCTCTCAATTATTTCTATTAATTAATGCACATTTTATTGATTTCCTTAGGAATGAATAATCAAGTAAAGGTTACGTACAAATTACCACTTCTGATTTTTACACAATTTAATAAGATTTTTTCAGCAATTCTTTCTTTCATGTTCTATTTCGTACCGTCATCTAAATTTTTATGTTATTATGGCATTCATCAGGTACTGTATTGACCAAATACAGTGCAGTTATGGGATATGTTTACAAAAAGTCTTTTTGATTTACTGCCTAAACGTTGAAAAAAACCTTTTTTGAGCTATCCACGATGACTTAGCTCGCCCACAAATTTTCGATTATCCACTTTCATTTTTATTCCAAACATCAATTTGATCCCTCTTACTTCTTCTATTATTGGAAATTTACTTGCCTGGTCTTGTAGTTTATTTTTTAAATGCTTAACTTCCTGATCTCGACATTTTTTAGAAAGTCAAAGCTAAGTAATTTATCAAAATAGCATTATCTACATATATCGTGCAATCTTTTTAGTTGCAAGACAAACTCTTAATGGAAAATACCTTTTGCAAGAGTACTTTCTTAACACTTTCGATATATATCCATTGTTTTACTCGTTGCTTCATATAATTATGTATTTTTGTTTACTATACATTTTGAATTAAAGATTAACGATTTCATAACCTTTATCATAATCACTTCTTATTTTCTCAATTTTTACCTTTAAAAATTTAATTTGATTGATTTTTTTTTCTTTTTGTTTCAATATTTCTGCAATTTTTACCATATAATTTATTCCTTTAAGAATTACTTACTACTTATTATTATGATAGAATGATTTGAATTTTTAGAATTAAACAGGAATAAAATGTAAATTTAAATTAACTTTCATTATACTTTCATTACATATATAAAATTAAATATCTTGAACAAATAATTGTTGTCAACAATGTTTTATTTTTTTTTAGTAATTTTTCTGCTAAACCAATTTTTTCTACTCTTTTCATTCTTTTTTCATTTCGTTTTAATTTTGTACAAATTTGTTTTAAATTATAGCAAGAAATCTTTATCTATTCTTATTCTTTGTCTAAAAGCATTGATTACATCAATCGAAATCTTATAATTACTGTTATCAGTAATCTAAGTGCATCGATTTGGTCATACACACACACACACATGCACACACACATACACACATGCACACACACATACACACACATACATACACACACATACACACACACACACACACACAGACTAACTAATCTATATTTCATTCATAGAGACATGAAAACATTTTCGTTTGTGCATATAGGGACTATTCCATCCTTTTTTTTTCTAGCGCTTTCTTTTTTTCGCTTTCCTTTCTGATCCCTAATACATACTTATTATATACTATGTGAGTGTCGCCATAGATTGTTATTGCACTATTATTTTTTCTATCCTTCGTAGGCTAAGGTAATTGCTTGCAGTCTGTAAAAGTATTCACACAATTTAAGTTCTCATTCTTTTCTTGTATTAAATGAATGACAGAACTCATACTTAGTGATTAGCATATATAGTATTGTAATTAAATATACGATGCAAATTAATTTCATTTTTCTCATTGGTTTCTGGCGTTGCTCAGTTTATATTGGATAAGTTTATATTTCTTTGTCAGTAAGCTTCTTGAGATAATGTATTTCAGTGTCAAAATGACTTCTTCAGATAAGTTTTATCAATGTTATCGTTTTGTGCAACGACCATAGTTCAATCATAGATGTATTCTGCAGTATGATATTGTAAAAGAAAATGCAAATTACCATGAAATTTATCAAATATTTTTGGATAAAAAAAGAAGTAAACATTTAGGAGTAATAAAACTTAGAAGAACAATCCATTGATAATATCCACGTGGTCTAGGCAAGTCGAAAAATCGATGTGCTAAACTCTCGAAACAACTGCTATTATTATTTCATTTTCTTTTTTCAGATTGGAAATGTTGTATGATCAAAAGCGCGGGAGGAAAAATTCAAATACGTCGGTTATAAACAATTACTATGTCCAATAATGCGGGCAGGTATCTGAATCTTCATAGTGATGGGACGGATCTTACTCTTCCAATAGGTTTGCCATTTTATTGTCAGACAAATGCAATGCTAAATTAGTTGTTGTTTTTAAAATCTCTTCATCACATACTTCTTGGTGACATAATAAGTCTCAGTTATCTGTTACATTTAATCATTTAATTCTTCAAACAATACGATAATACCTTTTCGTCGATCATCTTCCCTGATTATTTCTTCAATAATCTGTAGAATTCTATCGAATATTGAAATTTGATTTTTATTAATATATAATGCTTCTATAAGCCGTTAACTACAATGAATATTTAGTCTTTTTTTTTCTTTTCTTTTTAAATACGTTTATAAGATTTGTTCAGGTATGTCACAAGTCTCATAGAAGATTTTTTCGCGCTCATGAAAATTTTTTTTTTTCATCCAATACATGGTGACTGTTCCATCCTTTTTTTCTTCGAATATTTCTTTGGTCTCTACTAGATCTCAATCTAACATCCTCGTACTAATATCATATCCTCGTACATCCTTACCATTCTACTACATAAACATTTTTTTTTCTTTTCTCAATTATTTCTATTAATTAATGCAGATTTTTGTTCATTTTCTTAGGAATGAATAGTCAAATAAAGGCTACGTACAAATTACCACTTCTGATTTTTACACAATTTAATAAGATTTTTTCAGCAATTCTTTCTTTCATGTTCTATTTCGTGGAATAAAAATGAAAATGGATAGTCGAAAATTTGTGGTCAAGCTAAGTCATCGTGGATAGTTCAAAAAGGTTTTTTTTTTCAGCACTTAGGCAGTAAATCAGAAAGTCTTTTTGTAAACAGCTCCTATAGCTGAATTGTTCAATACAGTACTTGGTGGATGCCATAATGATACAAAAATTTAGACGACCGTGGAAATACAAGGAATAGAACATGAAAGAAAGAATTGCTAAAAAAATCTTATTAAATTGTGCAAAAATCAGAAGTGGTAATTTGTACGTAGCCTTTATTTGACTATTCATTCCTAAGAAAATGAATAAAAATCTGCATTAATAAATAGAAATAATTGAGAGAAGAAAAAAAAATGTTTATGTAGAAGAATGGTAAGGATGTACGAGGATATGATATTAGTACGAGGATGTTAGATTGAGATGTAGTAGAGACCAAAGAAATATTCGAAGAAAAAAAGGATGGAACAGTCTCCATATATTAGATGAAAAAAAAAAAATCTTCATGAGCGCGAAAGATTGCAGAGAAATACTATTATTATGAATGTTCATTTTCGTGACTATTTTCCTATCTTTTGTTGTGTCAGAAGTATCAGGGAAAGTATGGGGTATTTAATGATTAGCAAAAATAGAATTATGTTTAGGTAAATTAAAATATGTAAATCAGTGTTTTTACTATGTGTTCTTTTGCCATAAGTAAATAATAGTTACGTCACTGGTCTTTGTGCTTAATGAATATTTGATAAGTTTGCTAATTTTATAGAATTGCGGCTCCCATGGAGGATCAAGAAATCGAAGTGTTTTTCGAATACCTTAAAAGGGAGCCGGAGATGTACCGGATTTTGCAAAGGTTCGTGAACAGGACTGTTCAGGTAATTTTCACTTTGTCTTCCTCTTTCTTTAAAGTTTGTTCCACCCGCTGTATGATCTTTTATCACGTGTTTTTTGCATGAATTTAAAGATGGCAGCGAATTTTATAGTCTTTTGTTTTATTTTGCTTGCATAATGTCTGCAAATTCCATGCAGGCGTTTCTGATTTACCGCTGTTTATTTATGTGCTGCTGTAAGGGCATATCATCAATTCAAACACTAAAGTGAGTCATGCCAGCATTAACGCTTGCATTTTTTTCTAAATCATTCATTGCAACACTGCCTACAACCATAGACTACGTGTCAAATAAGCTAAAAGCATCAAAAAAGTTGTCGTCTTTTATTTTACCAATATGCACGCACGCACAACAACCAATATGAATGAATGTGCCACGTTTATTTTGATTACAGTAATGGTTATTGCAGAGATGAAATTAATCATCAGAGACAAAATTAATCAATCCATAATGTACAGAAAAAAGTCATCGATACGAGATAACTAATTACTATAACATAGCAGCGGCAGCAGCAACATTCCGTCGGTACTCCAGCATTGCCAGTTGCAGCGCCTATAGTTAAAAAAATTCATATGAACATTTGGCTGAAGGAAAATGTATTGCACCCACTCATTCATCTCTGCAATAACCATTACTGTAATCAAAATAAACGTGGCACATTCATTCATATTGGTTGTTGTGCGTGCGTGCATATTGGTAAAATAAAAGACGACAACTTTTTTGATGCTTTTAGCTTATTTGACACGTAGTCTATGGTTGTAGGCAGTGTTGCAATGAATGATTTAGAAAAAAATGCAAGCGTTAATGCTGGCATGACTCACTTTAGTGTTTGAATTGATGATATGCCCTTACAGCAGCACATAAATAAACAGCGGTAAATCAGAAACGCCTGCATGGAATTTGCAGACATTATGCAAGC